ATGCCAGTTTTGATGAACGCGCTGGACGAAGTCGCCAAGCTTCACCCGTATGTTTTCAAGGTTCATTCTGCAGTCAAATCCTCTAAATTTCACGTACTCCAGTTTCATTGGGGGTAAGTTTTTTTTGAAACAAAAAGGGAAATGTTGTTTGACCTTTCTCTTTAGTTGCCGTTATGGCGTTCAAGGTGCGTTCGAATACGAGTAGTCTGTCCTTATCTCAACCTTGAGGACAGGCTGTCTGGGCGCTAGAGCAGAAACGTCGTGATAACGATCGCAAGATACTCGCCTTGCACCTTGAGATGAAGGATATGATGGCGACATTGACGCAGTGTGTATCACTTTTTTGCTCCAATTTCGCCATCTTAATCTTCGCAGACTGAAAAATGTGAGAGACGCGGATGAGATGGCGCCTGACGGAACCACAATCAAAGGTCGAATGCAAGAGATCGTCGCCGCCACCGCAGAAGACATCAAAGCGTGCGCGAACGTACGTACGTTCCCTCGTCGTCGCGGTTTGTATTGACCCGGGCCCCAGGCTTGCGATACTTATACCAAGAAGAAACTGGTAGTCAAAATCTTGAAAGGCCCGGTCTGGGAAGGAAAGTTGGTCAAATTTGCAGGGACCTTCACGAAGCGTCGCTCGGAATTTGAGTTTGCCCTTTCGATCCACACTGCTCTAGGTATAGTGCCCACTTGAACCTGATTAGGACCCCAGCGTTGAGATATACTCTTTCCCCAGGGGTTGACGCCGCAAATCAGACCTTGGGATCAGTGGACAAGACGACGAAAGAAATGAACGAGAAGATGGACGCCATGATGAAGATGTTCCAGCAGTTTGTCGCACCCGAGCAGAAGGAAATGATGCGGTACGCGACTTCGCCGAGAACTCCATCGCGGATCCTGAACCCATTCTCAGTCTTGTTGAACAAAAGGGCGGTCTGCAAGCGTGCCAGGAGAATGACAAGATTCTCAAAGAGCTGAGCGACCTTGAAGCCAAGTCGAGTAGCTCACTCGGAGGTGCTCCTCAATCTGCGAAATCTGCACAAAAGACGTCTGCACTGGAAGACCTGAAAGACGATCTTGTAATACATGATTGATTGCACATCACGTTGATCCGCTTACATGATTTCAAGGTCTTGGAACCTGACGCCGCGGTAGAGAAAAATTTGACAGTCTTTTCGCGCAAATTTGAAGTGCAAAAACGCCAGATTGTGTACGTCTCCAGTCAATTTGCCCCATAGTTCTTCCTGATCCCATTTCAGCGACGAACTGACAAAAGTCGTCGAGAGAGAGGGTGATCGGGTCATCAGCGCTATAACTGCTGGTCCTCATGACAAGATAATTGATCCTGTGCGTACTATCCTGCATTAAAATGCTCGAATTTCATTCGTTATTGCTTGCAGGACGTTCACAAGATATGGAAAGAGATGGTACGAACTTTTGTTGGCCCCATAGGTGTTTTCAACCTTTTCGCAGGGTTGGAGGGGAAGTGTCAAGGCGCGACATTTTGTCATGGCTTTGCGCGACTACTACCAAGAAAACGCAGAAGATTCTGATGTGACTGGCGCCGCGGTTTCTGTTAAGAAGCGAAACCCCGATGATTGGGCTTTGGCGTATCTTCATGTCTCCAGACTTCAATCAATTTCGGAGGCCTTGGACGACGACGCTTCGGGCTTCGTTACTGTGGCAGGCGAGTTTCGCGCTCCCGCTCCCGCTGCGAATGTTCATAGTCAAGCTCCCTTGCGCAGAGGCTAACACTTTTACTACATCGCGACCGCTTGAGTGGTCGTGAGTTTTTTTTTTTTGTAAAAAAAAGTTGATCTCACACTGCATCTGATAGTCTTACGCACTGGACGGCGTACTGGGCAATAGGATTCCACCAGGCCATGTCGTTGTATGCAATCAAGGTAGATTCAATTCAATCATCGGATGAGAAGCCATTAACAAGGCTCAGGTCCGAGAAATCATGGCAAAATTATTCGCGCTGCGAAACCGCGTGCTGCCCGCCAACCGAACAGCTGTCAACTCCTATCTGGAAGCTGTGTATCAGGTGCGCTCGGATGTTTGTGTTTTTGCCCGACGTCGTTGAGACGACTTTACCAGGATGTTACTTCGCTCGAGTCCGGGGTAGCACCTTGCTACGTGAACGAAGCCTTGCAGGAGAGGTTTTCTTCCTTTGTTGAAGCCGAAGAAGCGAGGCTCCGCGGAAATCTCGAAGCTGTGGACTACGATCTCGATGCCGCCAACACTCTTACCCTCGTCACCGGGCAGGGACGCATCGAAAGAGTCAGCTTATCTCCACTTGGTCTAAAGTTTCCAATTAACGTGTTCAATTCTTCAGTTCCTCCTCCCTTTGATCTACCTCCTTCTCAAGCGGGACTTTGAGATATTCCGCATCTGCCAGCGGCAGGTGATCCACCCCGATGAACTTTGGGACGCGGCCGACACTATTGGGTGGGTCGTCTCTGCGGCACGGGAAAGGGTAGACCTTCTGGAATGTGGGTCTCTTCCCCAGCGATGTGATCTATCCTTTGATACCTCAATCACTCTAGCGACCTTCCAGCAGCAGAAAGTCGACGTTGGACAGGAATTCAAGACGTACGCTCACGGTCTTGTGAGTTTACATACAAGTCTGCTTGTATCAACCAAAATTAACCTTCTCAAATCACAGTTTCAATTCATGCACGATAAATCTGGGCTTTGGGATGCGAAAGTGGTACTCGCCCAAGAGTTTCCTGACTATCCGTACGACGATGCGTTGGAGGCTCAAGACGTCGACTTGGAAAAAATTCTCAACTATCCCATCGGTCTCGATAAACTCGACTTTGCCGCATACAACGCCGAACCAGAAAGGACCAAACCTATAACTACCAGCAGTCGACCGTCTTCTGCTGTCAAAGCTATTCTAGGCTCCTGGAACGGCTTCACCTACTCTCCTGCCTCATCGGTCGTTCCCTCTTCGGGAATGATTTCGATGGACCTCTTGGCCAGTGGAACAAGACGATTCCAAGCGTCGTCCCGCTCCAATACGTCCGATTTCGCCATTCTCGGCGAGTGTAGCGGCGAGAGTGCAGAGACTGTAAAATTCACATTCAAACAAACCTTCCCAGCTCGGTTCTCTCCCCAGTACTTTTTCGGGCAGTGGTCGAGGGCACAACAGTCTCTCTCCGGAACGTGGGGTGCGGAGGCCGACAGCCGTACCCACGACGGGATTTTTATCTTCAAGCGAATTTTACCGGAGTATATGTGCTTCTTCCCGGCACCTGCAGTCTCGAAGGCAAATAAGTGGCGGGCCCTGTGGACGTTTGCGATTTCGGCCGTAAGATATACGATACGCAGAGAAGACTGGTCTTGGGCGTTCTTCAAGCAAAGAACGGAGAACCGTAAACGCTTCATTGAACTTTATATCCGACAAACCCGTTTCGGACGACCTTTAACAGCCTCGGAGCAGGTGATCGTGTTTGTTTCTGTATGTCTGTCGACGGCACTAAACTGTGCTGCAGGTGGAACTCGGCCTGATAAAAAAGTAGGCGGAGATCCGGTGGACACTCCGATCAATCTGACAACTTGAACAGATCATTTACGACGGCGGACTCAAGGTTCTACCACTCCATAGCCGAAAATCAGATTCGGGTAACAACTGGACATGAGTGAGTCCCAGCGGGGGAGGCCTTCTTATCACTTACATTGGTACAGTGTTCGGTGCGATTGCTGTGCCGGAATGATAGGCGGGGCTCGTGTTACTTGCTTAACATGCCGGCTGGAGGACACTTTTGATACGGTGAGACTTTCGGGTGGTTCATCCGTGCGACTGAGTTTAAGCAAAGCTCATAGGTCGACTTTTGCGACACGGCGAGTTGTATGTCCGTGAAAGTCGTGCCATCTGGGATGACGGTGTGTTGCACGTCCTCCTTTGATTTCCTTTTTGACTGTCTTCTGTAGCGACCTCACTTGCCAACACATGATATTCTCAAACTGAGACGAGTCGTGCATATACGGCAATTTGGGAAGATGTATCGGGAGGGGAAACGTGCTCTCGCGAAAGCGAGACGGTTGTTCCCTACACCCGTGAATGTGGACGCAGATGCCCTTTCGGACCAAGTGACGGTCGCTCCTAGATGCGTTGTCTGCGATTTCCCTGTCACACAACCTTGTTGGTTCTGTGTCCAGTGTGAAGGTTGTTACCTTGACGATCTCCAATATCCATACTGACTCGCAATCTAGAACCCAGCTTTATTTGCAACAGTTGCGACTCTGACCCAAAGGCAAAGATTGCATTCGGATACCATGAAGTCCACTCCCACGATCTGGTCCGGGTACAAGAGTTGGTAGAAGAAGTGGAGGTAACTCTTGAAGATCGAATGGCGGATCTGGAGCAACGGTTTATCCAACATGAGGCGAATATGGACCAGAGACTCGGCCGTTTGGAGGCCAAAGTCGAGGACCGCCTGATGAAGGTCGATGACCGTCTCATGCTGGTCGAAAAGCTGTTGGAACGAGTACTTTTCGCACTGGAGCAGCCCTTGACTCGTTGAGGATTCTGAATACCACATTTTTTGTGCACAGCACAATATTTATTGCACCAGTACCTGCACAATTACCATTACGGTCACGTATCTGCAACTTTACCTCGACGGGCTATGATTGCACCCAAGCCGCGCCTCAAACTTCATATCCCCTCCGTTTGGCATGCATGCGGATGCTTTTGAAATTCCGTATCTTGGGATTGACATGTATCTCTTGTTGACATCGAAGATTGATGATATATTGTCCCAATGCGAGCTCTCCACTGCGGAGAGTGATTTGGCCGCAGTGGTCTACTAGGCTCTCCAGATGCGCTGTCGAGTGCAACCGCCCGTCCGCACTACCGCAGCAGCAAAACGGCAAGGCGTGCTCCTCGGCTGTGGGCACACGCAATTCAAAGAGCGAGAGAGCAAAAGACAGCAGAAAGTGGGTAAATTCTGTGGCACGCAGCGATTCACTAGCAAGCAAAAGTGAAGCTGCCCCTGCAAGGTTCGAACTTGCGATCTCACGATTGAGCGCGAATTAACAGTCGTGCGCCTTCACCAACTGGGCCAAGGGGCAGGGCGGGCAGGAGAGGTGGAGACGCTACTCGAAATCCGATCCAAAACGAATCCAGACGTCGTCGGAACCGTCGCGCGCTTACCAGAGGGCACTTCATAGAGGGCGGGCAGGAGAGGGGGAGACGCTGCTCGAAATCCGATCCAAAACGAGAGCACCGTTGGTACATGTAGAAGCCAGAGAAACGGGAGGTGATCTCAGGTGATCACCATAGATACATTCAATGTTTTGATATTATGGAGAGCAGACAATGCTCCCAATGATAGACCACATGGATCCATGGGAAGGTTGGTAATGGAGGTACGAGCCATGACAGAACACCAAAAAGATGTCCATGGAAACATCCCTCGAGATTTCATAGACGGAGACGGAACAAGACGGTCTAGAAAACCGCCCCATGGATCCTTGGGAAGAGGAATGCTCTCGAGAGAACACCGAAAAGACGCTCATTCCCTTGAGCAACTAGCCGGTGAATGCTGAAATGTTATAAGCTCGCCATTTGTCGCCATAGAACAGAAGTTTAGCCGGTCGACGTCGCCCGTGGATGAAGAAATGGAGTGCAAGCGGTGCAACTGGTACAAATTTGCAGACTTGGACTGTATATGGGAGCTAGTAGGACGAGGAAAGGCAAAGGAAGAGGGTCATGGCTAGGAAGGAGGCCATGGCTCAGCACGCTTTCAAAGCCGGTACCGAAACAAAAACTAAAGACTCGCGCAACGCCAACACGGGACACGCGTGCACTGCACTTTCTGTTGTGAATCGACGATGCAACGATATTAATACACACATATAATATAAAATCCATCGCAAGTCTACGCAGGCGCTGTGGACACGGTTAGCTGGCGTGAATGGAAAAACCAAAGCTTACCCTTTTTCCTCCGCGTTCTTGTGGGAGCTGGTGGTGGTGCTTGATGGGTAGCAATGAGCTTAGTATATACATAGCGCCGAATAAACCCCGGGGGAAGATCGTAGACGGTGTCGACAAAGTGAGACATGGTCGTACCACAATCACGATCGCCGCCTGCAGAGCGCTTGCCCGTAACGCGGCGCCCAGTAACGGGGTCAATCGGGCGTGCGCATTCCGTACCAAGGCAGGTGTGATCAAAATAGCCGTTCCGGATCGGGTGCAAGTTGAAGTGGTCGTGTGCGACGATGAATGGGTCTAACATATTCAACAGTGCAGTGGGTCGGAACAGGGTTTTCCGATACAGGTAGCGCTCGAATGAGCACCCGAGAGAAGTGAATGTTTGGGCCAGTTCCGGTGGCTTTGTCTTTTCGAATTGGTTTGCAGTCCATTAAGGCAACAAGGATGGGCGCTCCAAGGAATGCGCATCTCACACGGAAGAGCCGAGACAATTTTAGCGTTGGAGAACATCGGGCAGACTGGCTGTAGCTGGACGGTCATTCCATGACACTCACCCGGGTATCTGAGCGTCTTGTCGAACCTACATCGTATCCATCGCAACTCGCGCACCTAGGAGCGTGTGTGCAGAGCAATTTCACATAATTGCCTAATCTGGCCGTCGGCGTTTTGGTGCTTGGACATGTTTGGTTGCCATCAGATGACCACTAACTTCCAGTTGTGTGCACGGTACGTGTAGGAGGACCCATTATTTGAATGGGTTTGTCTTCCTGTATGAGAGTCTTATCCGAAGGGATGTCTTCCCCGGGGGCTGGATCCAGGTCGAAGAGGGTTCTCCTCCGGACCGTCGTTTCGTACAAGGCGTCTGTAGCAAACGGCTGTTTGCGAGATACATCTGTGGTACACTTATTCTTGGGTCTCTTCACTTGGGCAACTCAGGGCTGTCGATCAACATCGACCCCATCCTGGCGTTTCTTTCCCCAGGAATCTCACTCTCTTCCGCGATTTTGCGCACAGCGGCGATTTCCTCTGCACTGAGCTTGAGCGCGGAGGCGCCAAGATTTTCTTCGAGGTACTGGGCCAGTTCGTGAGCGACCTGGAAGCTGGAAGAAAGCAACCCTACCTTGATCTTCTTGGTCCCGGGAATGACGACAAACTCGGGTCCTTGCGCCAAAATCCACGCGAGCGTCACCTGTCCGGCGGTCGCGTTGTGCTTTTCGCCAATCTTATGCAGGCGAGAGACTACATCGAGGATCTTCGGAAAGTTTGCGGCGGAGAACCTGTTATTCGCTGCTCAGAACGGAAAGTCTCAACCAGGACCAATGATACTTGGGAACGGTGCGCCGGAAATCGTTCGCCTCAAAGTCGTCGGGCGATTTCTGGGGGGATTACAGACTCTTTTGACTCTTTTGACTCGAAGAGGTTTGAAGGACATACGTATCGGCCAGTCAACAGACCGCGTCCGAGAGGCGAATACGCAACAATCGTGACGCCCAGCTCTCTCGCGGTCTCAAGCAACGCAATCTTCGGGTCCTCAATGTCCAATATAAATGGGCTGTACTCAATCTATTGGCCTTGGTGAGTCCACCAACGAGATCAGTGAAAGAGTCAAGGCACCTGCAGCGCGGCGATGGGATGGACGGCATGTGCGCGTCGAAGGGCTTTGGCAGAGCACTCCGAGAGGCCCAAGTACTTGACCTTGCCTTCCCTAACGATACCGAGCAGCTAGTAAGCAACAAAGAGATACGGTCATCGAATATTTACGCACTTGACGAGTTCGGCCATGGCACCGACAGTGACCTGTAACGGAGATTAGATAATCGCGATTTCGCGCATTTACGACGAACCTCGATAGGTGTGTTGGGGTCAACCCTGCGCATAGAACGTCAGCGAGGTTGAGCGCTGGACTAGGAGGTTGCGGTATAATACCTGTGCTGATAATACAAATCGATCGTGTCCACTCCGAGCTTCTGGAGCGACGAGGCACATTGCTCCTTGACAAAGTCGGGGTCCCCGCGCACTCCCTGAGGGGTGATGCCGAACTTGGTGGCCAAGAAGATGTCGTTTCGCTTCCCGGTGCGCTTGAACCACTTCCCAATGAGTTCCTGAGAGTCGCCGTAGATGTAGGCAGTGTCCCAGTGCAAACAGCCCTTTGCATGAGCCGCGTCGAGAACCTAGCGAATCGTTCATCTCGCGCCCAGCAGCTGGACGTGGTGACATACCTTGAATCGTTCTTCATCAGACTCGACTGCTCCGTAGAAACTGGATATTCCCATTGCCCCGAATCCGATTTCGGACACGAGGGCCTGGCCTATCTTTCTGGTAGGAATGGACATGGTGAAGAGTGGGGTTGCGGGACAGGGTTCTTGTCACGGCGTAAATAAGGACTGGGGTTCGGAGTCCAGAGTGGAGAGTTGCATCGATTTGCCATCAATCAGCAGAGACCGAATGGAGATATCTATGCCGGCATGCCATTTATCTGAGGCGATCGCGGCGCGCTACCCCGCGCCCGATATATTAATTAGCAAATGCGCGACTGCGACTTGTATAAAATGTGAACATGTACTCTACTAACTAAACGACGACACCCTTGATGAGGTCCGAAGCCCGCTCGGCCATGGCGATAACGACAGCGGTTGGGTGTCCCGACACCTGTGTCGGGAAGGCACTAGCATCGCAAACTCTCAGACCCTCGACACCGTGCACCTTGAGTTTGTTATCTACAACACTCGTGCTCGGCGAACCGCCCATTCTCGCGCTCGATGTCTGTTACACGTGTGAAAAGGTGACTTAGGGGCACGTGAGAAACGCGACATACCGGGTGCCCAGTAGATTGTCCGTGAAGTCTAGTCCAGGCTTCAATGTCGTCGTCGGAGGCCTTGAGTTTGTGTCAGGTGTCGTTCTGCGAACTGGGTCGAGGACGTACCTTATCGGGATTGCAATCTGTCGGCCAGAAGAGGGAGGTCCTGTCGTTGGAATCCTCGGGAAGGTTCAGAGAGTCCACAAAAGGCTTAGTGTGCGCGATGCGCATGAGAAGTCTCATGCTCAGGATGCTTAGCGCGACGTCGCTGGGCTCGCCGAGATAACTGCAAAGTATGAGCGACAGCGATAAAATCTCATAAAACTTACTTGGGGTCGATGTGCGGATAGTCCCAAGCGTTAGCGCTCGCGAGTTTGACCGTGCCATAGCTTGCGGGTTTCAAGAGGAGAGAGCCCTAGGCATTGTACGCAAATGGATCAAGCGGTGCTTTTATGAATGGGTAAACAAGTGCTTACAGCCGTAAGTCCACCGAAAGGATAAGGTTTGCCGCCGAGCGGGGGAGTCAGGAAAGGTGCGAAAAACAACTCCATGTCGGGGGCGGTGGGTCCCGAAGAAAGATCCTTAACCGGGTATTTCTTGGCGCCATCGTGAATGGGCAAGCTAATGAAGACGTTTAGTTGGTGACCGGAGTGCAAGGAAGATAAACAGACGTCTTGTCATCAGAACGAACAAAGCAGGCCACCTGAACACTCAAGGACGAAAGAGGACCTTTACCGAAGAAAAACCATTTGGCGAAGGCCCACAGAGCTCCAAGAGGTCGGAGAACATAGTCCCAAGTGCCACGCTTAGCGCGAATCAACACAGGGCCAGGCGAGAAGTGCTGTAATGCCGGGTGAATACCGCGAGGGGCTGGTAAAGCTGGCAAGGAAAGCTCACGTCCTGGAGGTATTCGCCAACCGGAAGGTCACGGACGACCGGGATATTGTGCTTTTTCAATTCCGCTGCGGGCCCGATGCCAGAAAGCATGAGAACCTGAGGGGTCCCAATAACACCACCCGAGAGAATGACTTCTCGGGAAGCGGCAACGTGGAAGCGTTGACCGCCTCTCGTCTTTGAAAAGACGAGACCCGTCGCCCGCGGGACTTTCTCGTTCGCCGTGAGCACGACTTTCTCCACGGTGCACTCCACCGCAACGGTGAGATTGGGACGAGCAAGAACTGAGCGAGTGAGGTACCCCGTGGCAGAAGAGACACCTAGCTTGTTGTTAGGATATAGGAACGCCGGTAAGAGACCAAACACTCACGTTTGCCGTTCGGGAAGACATTGCGAACGAAGAGACCGACTCCGGTTGTTCCAGCATCAGTGTTCAGGTCGCTAAAA